CACAATCAGCTGTTAGCTAGGACACTATGCCTTCACCAGCACAAATTAATGACTTAATGATACAACTCAAAAAGCTGGTAAAACAAGAACAAACTAAATCCAAACCAAGTCCATAGTAAAAAAAATAATAAAAATCAGAACATTAATCAATGAAATAAAACAATGAAAAGAACACAAAGAATCAACAAACTTAAGAGCTTGTTTTTGAGAAAGGTACAAAAATTGACAGACCCTTGACCCAAATAATCAAAAATGAAAAAAGAAAATGAAAACAAAACCTAAAACCAAAAACAAACCTTCAAGCTCCACAGCTTCATAATGGGTATTCTAAATGTATTGAAGTTCACTGAGATTTATAGACTCTGGGTTTGGTTAATTCTGATGTGTGGAATTTATTTTACTTACAAGTACTTTTCATAATAAGCTTATACAATTAAATAAATAATAAATACATGTAGTTATCATTATCTATTAACTTAAAAATAAGGGACAATGTACAAAATAATTATAGTGCTATAGTACTGTTATAATAAAAAACATAAAATTGTAGTTTTAGATATAGTCCTGGTTGTTTTTGGCCAACTTGACACAAGTTATAGATATCTAAGAAGAGGGAACCACAACCAAGAAAAGCCCCCAGCAGATCTGCCTGTGGACAAGTCTGTAAGGCATTTTCTTGATTAATGACTCAGGTGGGGGGGGGCTTAAGAGGGTTCATCCTACTGTGGGTGGTGACACCACTGGGCAGTTGGTCCTGGGATGTAGAAGAAGGCAGGCAGAGTCTCTTCCTAGCAACAGAACAGTGACTAAGACAGACTCTAAAAGGCCAACCTTTGCTAGTTTCTAAAGCAAACGGAGTCCTATTCAGAATGTCCCTTTTTACATCTATACCTTGTAAGCTACTACTCATGTTTCTTTTAGAGTTTCAGAATCATGTTTCACATTGCAGTCTCTGATTCATTTCAAATTAATGATTTTTATGTAGACTGATAGATTGATTGATTGATAGGCTGATAGAGTCTTAATTTCATTCTTATATATGTAGATATCCATTTTCCTGATACCTTTAATAGAAGATGCTGTATTTCCTCCAATGTCTTTTTTGGGGGTGGGTCATCTTTGTCAAATATTAGATTGGCATGTATATGTACGCATTTTTGGGTCTTCTATTTTATTTAGAATGCCTGTTTTTGCCAGTGCCATATTGTTTTTATTACTTTAGTCTGTAGTATATGTTTTTTTTTTATTTGTTTGTTTTTGTTTGTCGAGGTAGGGTTTCTCTGTATTGCTTTGGAGCCTGTCCTGGAACTAGCTCTGTAGACCGGGCTAGCCTAGAACTCAGAGAGATCTACCTGCCTCTGCCTCCCAAGTGCTGGGATTAAAGGCATGTGCCACAATGCCCAGCTTGAGTATATCTTGTAATCTGCGATGGTAATTCCTTCTCATTTGTTCTTTTTGTTCAGGATTGCTTCAGCTATATGGGATCTTTTGTGGTTCCACATGAATTTTAGAATTTAGTTTGTGTTTTTGTGAAAAATGTTGCAGGGATTGTACTGAATCTGTTAATTGCTTTTGGCTAGATGGTCATTTTCAAAATATTAATTCTACCTCCCATACACATGGAAGGGTTTTCTTTTATCTGGTGTGCTTCTCAATCTCTTTCTTCAGAGGTTTGAAGTTTTAATTGTGGTGGGCTTTCACCTTTTTGGTGAAGTTTGTTTCTAGGAACTTAATTTTATTTGAGGGTATTGTGAATGGGAGCTTGCTCACAATCTTCTTCTCAGCATATTGTTGTTGTTATATAGAAAGGCTATTAATATTTATAAGTTGATTTTGAATCCTACCACTTTGTTGAGGTTGTTGGTTGATTCTCTATGTTTTCTGGTGGAATTTTTCAGATATCTCACATATAACAATAGCAAATCACCTATAAATAAGGATAATATAATTCTTTTAAAATTCGAAATCCCTTAGTTTCTATTTCTTGTGTTATTTCTCCAGCTAATGCTTTGAGAAGTACACTGAAAGGAGCAGGGAGAATGGAGATCTGAGTCTTGTCACCAATTTTTATGAGATTGCTTTAAGGTCTTTTTTTTTTTTCTTTTTCTTTTTTTAATTTAGGAGAATGTTGGCTGTGAGCTTGAGCTTGTCATATGTAGCCTTTATTATGGTGTGATGTATTTCCTCTAGTCCTACTCTATCTAGGATTTTTATCAAGAAAGTCTGTTGAATTTCACGAAGGCTTTTTCTACATCTATTAGATGATCATGTGATTTTTGTCTTTAAGTCCATTTATATAGCTTATTAAATTTATTGATGCAACTATGTTGACACATTCTTGTATCTCTGAAACAAAACCAACTTGATTACAGTGAATAATTTTTTTTGATGAATGCCTAAATTCATTTGTAAGTATTTTATTGAGGATTTTTTCTATTTATGTTTATTAAGGCCAAGACCTGACAAATTGGACCTTCATTAAAAACAAACAAACAAACAAAAAAACAAACCCCCCCTCAAAAAAAAAAACAAAACCAAAACTTTTGTGTAGCTAAGGAAACATACAATGACAAGGAAGCCCATAGAGTGGTAAATAATCTTTGCTAAGTATACATCTGATAAATGGCAAGTATTCTGATTATATAGAGAACTCTGAAAACAAGGAAACAATTGACTCATTCAATAACAGGCCTGGGATTTGAACAGCATTTTCAAAAGAAGAAATAAAAACAGCAAAGAAACATCTCCAAAAATGTTCATCATCCCTAGCAATTATGGAAACGAGCAGGCAGAATGTCTCAGCTCAGCAAAATAATGAACCACAAAGGCTAGAGAAGATGTAGGGAAATGGGCACCCTCATTCACTATTGGTGGACTGTACATTGCTGCAGCCACTCTAGAAATCAGTGTGGAGAATTGTAAAAAAAAAATTAAAAGTAAATATATCATATGATCCACTAATATCACTCCTGGACATGTGTCCAAGGGACTCAATATCCTACTTTAGAGATACTTGCCCAGCTGTATTCACTGGCATTCTAGTCACCATAGCTAGGAAATAGAAACAATTTAAATGTTCTTCAACTGATGAATGGATAATGAGAATGTTGGCACATCTACACAATGGAATACCATTCAGTTATAAATAAAAAAAAAATTTGTAGGTTAATGGTTGGAAATAGAAAATAGTATATAGAGTGATGTAACCCAGATCCAGAAGAATAGACACACCACATGTTCTCTGTCACTTGTAGCTCCTAGCTCCACATATTCAGATGTGAGCTCATCCTGGAATAACTGGAGAAATCAGGAAGGTAAAAGGGACCATGGAGTTCAGAGAGCAGCATTGGAGAGGGGACAACAGAATGGAGATGGTGTGAGGGAGGAAATGGAAGCATGGCAGGGAGGACTTCATTGGAGAGAGTGGACGGACACTAATACAAAAGGAGAGGAGAGATAAATAACACTGAGGGTGTTTAAAAGAATCACAAGAAATTATATTATTATATTTTCCTAAAACTACATGTAATACATACACACACACATACACACCTCACATATGTGTATGGTTTTAAAGAAGTTATGATGTGGAGTGATACTGCTCCCTGCATGAACCATACTCCACTTAACCAAGCCTCCAGTGAGAAGCTTCCTTTTGGGTGGCTGGTTTGCTGAGTTCAAGAAACTCCCAAACCTTACAGACTATTGCTGCTGCTGTTGCATGCCTTCTAGAATTCAAAAGTAGGTCTTTATTGCTGAAGAAACCTCATACACAGGACTCAGGGGAGTCATGATGGATCTGACCTAAGGACTTTCCCACTGTGGACTAGCCTTCATGGTACCAGAGATGCTAGGTAATCTGGTGGGGATGGGGTGGCATCCAATCATCCTATCCACAAAAATGACCAGCCTGTTAGGATATCTGTAGAGGTCCAATAGAGGTGGTCACATCTTGACAGTAACCGATAGCTGTCTAATTGGACCTGAGGTCTAATTACCAGTAGGAAATGTAGCCAAATACTCATGGCTAGTGCTGTCATGGATTTTGGAGGAGAACCTACTGTTGTCACTTTATTAAAGCAGCCCTAATCCTAACTACATACTGAATATCTAGCCTTATAACCATACACAAGTGTAGTTCTCATTCATGATCAAGGAAGTTTCTCTTTATAGCAGTTGGATACCATTACAGGCCGGTGGGTATATCTACAGTACAGTCTCTTAGCTAAGGTTAAGGGAGCATCACAGAAGAGGGAATGGAGTAAGTCTAAGAGCCAGAGGATCACAAAGTCTTCTGGAAGACTGAGTTTCCAAGAAATGGCAGGGACACTCATGAAACCATGGAAGCTCAAAAGTATGCCTGTCTAAACAAGACTTGAACAATAGCTGCTCTAAAGTAGACAGAGGTAATTTCATGGAGCCCACTTCTAGGTAATTACTATAGGTAATTAATGACTGCTAAGAGATCGAGAATTGGCCTTTCCTAGGGATGAGTCCCATAATTGGGTTTTCAGTACCATGTGGCCAGCCCTGAAAACATACACAAGTAACACTTGATGGACTGAACACGGTGTGTGTGTGTGTGTGTGTGTGTGTGTGTGTGTGTGTGTGTGTGGTGTGTATGGTGTGTGTGCTTGTGTGTGTGCATGTGTGTGTGTGCACATTTATATATGGAACAATGACAGTTAAAGAAACAGCAATGAATTTGAGAGGGAATAAAGAGGGACATAAAAGGAGACAGAGGGACATAGAAGGAGGGGGAAATGCTGTAAGTATATTTTAACTGAAACATTTAAAAGCAATGCACACTGAGTGTTTTCTACCACTTAGTAGGTGGCATCTGCTCAATAACTAACTGCTCTAATTGGACAGATACTGTCTTTGCAAAATTTAGAGGAAAATTTAAGTTGGCTAAGTTTTTAAGGAAAATACTTTCATCTCAATTTAGACCCTGAAGACCATATAACCTCTCAGAGAAAAATTAACTTGTGACCTATTACCTGAATCTCTTCAGTCACTGATTTGAACTGGGGAACACGCTCTGTCATGGTTTTAACAAGTTCCACTGCATTATCAAATCCTTTTACATATTCTCCATACATCTTCAGGAATGGCGCCAACTTTTGTAGGATATCTCCAATTCTGGGGGTAGTTTCCCTGTATTAAATATAGAAATACCATTAAAGGTTCTTATAGAATGAGGAAATCAGTAGGACTCCAGAGCAGAGAGAGTAGTCACTACATATGATCTGTTCTATTAGATCCACTTTGTTTTAATACTGGCAAGAAACATCTTTAAAAGGTGAGCATAGGAACTGCAGAAAGAGGGCTACAGAACTCTCAGAGTTGTGGATTGCTCCTGATTGCTTCTCTAGTCAGAACACCATTCAGAGAAAAGACTAGAAAGCCTATTCTGAGAAACCCAAGAACACAGTCCAGTATCTATCAGTCCTTTTTATGTAAGTTTGGCACTATAGTAATTGTAGCAGTGTGAGGTATGTCTGCTCTGTTTTAAAAGCTGAAAAGCAGCATCCTACATGCATGCTTAGGCCTAGCAGCCCTGCTTCTCCATCTTACCATTCATGCATTCGCTTTTCCAGCTCTGGTAATAGGAATTTACTGTGGAAGGCATTTATTGATGAAATGTTAGAAAAGATTTTATTCACCATCTCTGCAGGAAATGAGCCTCGGTTTGCTTCTTCTAATAGTTTGCAATAAAATACCTGAATAAAAAAATAAAGCTAATGTTACTTTAGAATTATTGGTTAGCTTACTTTCACTGTGGTAGGCCTACACTGGGCTTAAAGCAACACTTTGTTGAATAAATGGGGAAGGTTGTGCCTTAAGGAATCAACCACTCTTTACAATGTATGAGGAAATGTATGTTTTTGATTTTGAAGAATTTAAAATATGAATTAGGTAGAACTGCTTGTAACTAAAACTATGCCTCTACCTATATGGTATTATTTAATGTTTTCCTATGAGATATTAAGGTACACGGTAAATAGAGCTTTTTTTGTGCCAGAGAACTTCCAACTGACAGGGATTTACACTTCTCTTCTATGGCTATATTTAAGGGACATGAAAAGATTTTTATTATGTGTACAGTGTGATAGTTTTCATGTACTATGCTTGGATGACATCTATAGTATTATACATTACCCTTACTGTATGCAATGGTTAGTGTCAACTCAACCAGCTCTGGGCCTGTCTGTGCACAATCATCTTGATTGTATTAACTGAGGTGGGAAATCTGTCCACAGGGATAGTAGCATTCCCTGGCTAGGATCTTGGAATCAGTGGCCAATCAGCACAGCACACTGCTTATTCTCTTTTTCTTGACTATGATACAGTGTGACCAGTTTTATCAAGCTCTGGTCCTCTTGACCTTCCCTATATGATGAACTGTGCCCTTGCCTTGAACTGTGACTCAAAATGAACCCTTCCCTCCTTAGTTTGCTTTAGTCAGGGTTTGTATCACAGCAACAAAAAAGTAGCTAAGGTGTGGTAGCTGGCTGATACCTCACACTTCTTGTTAATACTCTATATATCTTAAAAGGGGAGTCTAGCTAACTTAGTTCCCATAAGTAGAAGAGGTGCTTAACCTGTGGACAATGAGAGAATAAAAACAACAACAAAAACCTTTTAGTTCCCAGATTTTAAGTTTTTTCTTTTTAACTTTTTACTTTATTTTATGTTTTTCTTTTTTAAATTTAAATTAGAAACAGTCTTATTTTATATACCAATCCCAATTCCCTCTCCCTCCCATTCTCCCTGACTCCCATCCTATCTTTCTTCTGCTCCACAGAAAGGGTGAGGCCTTCCATGGTGAATCTTCAAAGTCTGCCATATCATTTTGGGCAGGGCCTAGGCCGTCCCCAGTGTGTCTAGGCTGAGAGGGTATCCCTCTATGGGGAATGGGTTCCCAAAGTCCATTCGTATACTAGGTATAAATGCTGTTCCGTTACCAGGGGCCCCATAGACTGCTCAGGCCTCCCTCCTAACTGACACCCACATGCAGGGAACCTGGTTCTATCCTATGATGGTTTCCAAACTGTCAGTCTGGGGTCCATGAGCTCCCCTTGTTCATGTCAGCTGTTTCTGTGAGTTTACCCAGTATGGTCTTGACCCCTTTGCTCATCACTCCTTCCTCTCTGCAACTGGACCCAGGAATTTGACTCAGTACTTAGCTGTGAGTCTCTGCTTCTGTTTCCATCAGCTACTAGATAAAGGCTCTATTTAATTTGCTTTTCAATAAATAATAACACATGATAACTTGAACACTTATCTGTGTATTTAGGGATCTTCTGTACATTGTAACATGTACCTCAAAGATAAGTAGCAAAAGAAAACATCTTGAACTTTTAGCTATACTCTGTTGGGGCTATAGTATTTAACTGCCATTTTATTAAAATCAGGCAGAAGTCAAGTCTGTTCCTTCACCATGTCCAAATGATTATTCATTTTCTAAATTTACCTAGCTGCATTTTATTATTGGGAGCCAAAAATACCTTATCCCTTTAAAGACTAAAGGGGGATGGGGGACTATGTGGTTAACACACTAAGACATCAACAGCAAAACTAGTCAAATGAATTTGGCATAAAAAAGATAACAAGTTGCCTAGAAGAAAAGACCTCTTTTCACTATGGGACACTCACACACTCCAAGACTCTTTTCCCATGTGGAAGAAAAGCTCTTTGCTCATGTTGCACAGGGGTCGACTCTGTCTCACAGTCAAGTTCCTTGACACTGATAATCTGAACTACAACTTCAGTTTCAAAGAATACAAATTTTAAAGTGGCTTCACAAAATTCATACAAACAGTATATGGATGATCCTGGGAAACAATGATCAAGTGTCCGTAGGGCCACATGTTTCCAAGCAATCCAAATTTACCAGTGGCAAAAGTAGAATGGTCACTTCCTCTTTTAGCAAGAGACACCTGCCGTAGTGGGTGACCTACCACCATAGGACCACAATACATTTTTCAGCGACCTTGATGCACCTAGAAACTTTCAAAGTGTATGGACAAAATCATGTTCAAGGATATACCATAATTAAAGTACAAAGTGAGGTACAGTGGATCCATGTATGCAACAAATACTGACTGGATGACTAAGCCAGGTTCCACCAAGGCTAAACAAGTGGGCTTCCAAAGCCTGCAACATGACATAGTGCAACATATTAAACAAGACAGACAAGTCACTGAAGTAACTACCAATAGTCTATTTAAATACAGCATCCCAAGAACACAATAAATGGTCAAGAAATAAGAGCAATGTTTGACATTATGGAACAGAACACAATCGGAGTGTGACATATATAGAAACCTACACTCTTATGAATTGCAAACTTCCTGTATTCAGCAAATTTATCAATGAGGTTGTGAACATTTCTTTAAAGCAATTAAACTTTCACTATCCAAGCTAGTCAGGCCTGCACTGCAGTACTGTAATGCTTCAATTCCTAGGGTAGGAAGATGGATAACTGCAAACTGTTACCTGGTCTAAGAGGTTGAGCCGGCTGACATAAGCTCTTTCTGTAAGCAAAAGTTCATTGGCTATTTTGTGAAGTTTCTGCTCATTAGTCTCCTAAAAAAACCAAACAGATATTTGCATATAAGAAAAGGAAGCCAGACATTTTCCTTAAGTAACAACCCCTCCCAATCAGACCACTCAATCAAAGCAGTTTTCCCAAATGTTTCAGGGATATCCAAGCAAAAGTAGACAGGTTGATCAGATCTAAATGGGCCTGCTGTCTATGGCTGGCAACACTGTTGTTACCCTTTTTCTTGAATGTTCTGTTGTTCTCGGTGCCCAGTACTTTTTTCACTCTTACCTGCTTCTGACATACAGTAACACATGTGTTATTACTAACTATGCAGGTAACATTTTGCATTTTAAAATATATTGTATGAAATATGTAATCATAAATATTATTAGAGTAAGCAGTAAGAGTCGTCACCACGTGTCCAGTGCTAAGGAAAGACTGTCAGTTTGTCTCAGCCTTGTTTCAGTTTTGCTTCCTCTCACCTCTCTCATATGTTTCTTTACTTTAATTTTCAAACAGAGTCTGGTCATGCAGTACTGGCTGGCCTGGAACTCACTTTGTAGATCATGCTGGTCTTGAACTTACAGAGTTCTGCCTGTCTCTACTTCCCAAGTGCTGGGACTAAAGGTATACACCACTACATCCAGCTCTCATATTATCTTCAATTCAACCTAATGTTTCCTCCTAAATATATTTATTCAGCCTTTAAATTTATTTGTATAACCTTGCTAGTTTCATGATAGGAACATTTTTTTTTTTCTTGTTAGGTCTCTAACTCCTTTAATCAACTCAAGTGCTTCACTGGAGATCCCAGCACTCAGTAAAACATTGCTGATGAAATGAGAGGCTCTCTTACAGAGAACCACTATTTTATATTTATTGTGACTTTGACAAGATGTCAGAGTTACACTTTTCAAGAACCTCTGTCTGATGTTCAAATTATAAGCTCTCTCATCCTGGTACCACCCTTTTAAGTTATCTGACTATGTTCCATGAAATTTACACAACCAAGTCCTATGGAATGGTCATACCTGAAAACATACATACAGCAAAAGGCATAAACAAGTCATATTTAAGAATGTATATTTACATGCCTGTATATCTATCCAAACAATATCAATTAGTGAAAAAAGAGGCCATGAAGTTGAAGGAAAGTGACAAGGGTTTAGAGGGAGGAAAAAGGGAAGGAATAATGTAATTTTATTAGAATCTCAAATACAACATAAAAATATTAAGTTTTAAACGTTAAGCATTAAATTTTCCTCACTGCCACATTGTTCTGCAACTCTCATGTCAAGCCAGGCCAGTCAAGAGTGTTTATGTCCTGTGAGTTCAACATCTCTTGTATGTAACTTAACTTATGTACTGCTGTGTGAAGGATCTCTTTACAACTTTGTTTTTAGACATATAAATACACTTCAGGGGAAGAAATGGAAGCACATTATCCTTTATATTCACAGGAAATTCTGGTCAGCATTAACATGATGTGTCAAGTCAGACCTACTGAGGCCCACTCTTCTGACAGTAAAATGCATCCTTTGTGGAGCATGAAGCAATTTATATAAGCGTGCAAACACCACCAAAATAAAGGCACAGGGCATTTCCATCATGCTTAATTCTACTTTCATGACTGCTGTTATAACTCCTCTCCACTTCTGGACTCCTGAGACCAGGAATCTGCACTCTCTCAGAGCATCAGACGAAGTGGAGTCACCCCAACTGCTTGTCACCACATGCCTTTATAACAAACCCACATTATTTCTAGTGTCAGAAGTTCTTCATTTTATCTACTAGTGATAATGTACCTTTTTAGCTTATATTCTTTTACATGGTTTACATAGATTTGACAATATTGTTTTGACCTCTTTTCATGTGCATATAGTATGTTTCCACAAGTGTTTAAACTTGTGTGTGAAGGGCTGGGGTTATGTTAGGAATCTTTCTTAGTCCCTCTCCCAGTCGAACCTACAGCACATCAATAGGGATAGCCTCCTCTTCCAGCTTGCTGCTGTTATCCAGCATCTGTCTTCTTGAGTCTGGGATTGTTGGTGGTCCCCCCAAATATTCATGGGTTCTGGGAAATTTGAATTCTAGCCCCTTGCTTGTTCAGCAAGTGCTTTAACCACTGAGCCACTTCTCCAGGCCCCTGACATTATTTAAAAGTAATTCAGCAGATTATTTTGCTATAAAATGTGTATCTCATGGGCCATAAAATATGCTGATGGGTTACCTTGTTTATTACTGACATACAGTGAGGTCACCACTGTTGGATCTTGAATAGGATGCTTAGAACAAGCAAGGTCTTGCTGACTGTGAAGTTCCTGAGCAGAATTTGGCCAAATGTGAACACATGTCATACTCTGCAGCACCCAAGGGTGGCAGCAGTACTCAGCAAAGGCTTTGCTTCAAAGCCTTTGTTCATCTGGTCTAGACCAGCTTCGTCATTAGGCTCACTGGCAGCAAGCTTAATCACTTAAGACAAATGGTCTCAGAGCAGTCATTAGGTGTTGTGGTACAGAGGAGTTTTGGACTACTGGAGCTTTGGTTTAGGTTCCTCCACATGATAACAACATCTAAAGAGCTTCTAACACTTAATCACTGATTTTGTGAATCCATCTTTGTTTTTGAGACAGTCTCTCTTTGTAGCTCTAACTGCCCTGAACTTGCCATGTATCCCAAGTTGGCAGTGAATGCACACAAATCTCCTTGCCTCTGACTTCAGAGTACTGGACTAAAGGCATGTGTCAGCATGCCTAGTCTTTGAATCATCTTTTTAGCTATAAAACAGGCACAATTTTTATAGCAGGCCACGTACACACAACAAAAATACTGAGCCGAAGATGTCTGGGCTGCACGATTACAAAGTCTCTATATCAATTCCAGTCATAAAGAATTTCAAGTAACTGTTTATTATATAGTTTAAATAATTTCCTCTTATCTTTCTATGCAACAAAAAAATAAGACTTTGATATAAGCAAAGAACACAGATACAAACTGTCAGCTAACAAAACCTGATTTAACACAGAATGTTGTATCTATGGTACATTTTAATTTATAGTTTATTTTTTCCCCAAAGAAATTCCAGCTGACACAGCCTTTTAAAGAACATTTAATAATCATCAGGTACATAAGGTCTATACATTTTAATGGAAAAATACTTTACAATTTAAAAATTTAAAAGATTATTATTATTATTATTATTATTATTATTATTATTATTATTATTATTTGGACAGGGTTTCTCTGTATTATTTGGAACTAGCTCTGTAGACCAGGATGGCCTCAAACTCACAGAGATCTGCCTACCTTTGCCTCCCGAGTGTTGGGGTTAAAGGCGTGCACCACCAACACCCAGCTAAAAGATTATTTTTTAAAACACACCTATTAGTAGATTTATGAAGAAATGCGATATCTACCGGATGAGGCTCTGTGATATTTATCATATATTATTATATATTAATTTTTTTCTGTGTTTCCAAGACAGATCAGAGAAACAAACAAAATATTCCAAGGCAGATTACAAATGAGCCTCCTTCACACCTCTGATCTGGAGCTGGCCATACAGAAATTCTTACTTATCCTTGCCCGACAGCAGATCACATCCTCTACATTTAGAAGGTGTCCTGTGCTGTCTATACCAGCAAAGAAAGAATGCCAAAAAACTTGATGGGATAGGCAGAAGTGAGCTTCTCAACCAGTGTATTAGCAACCATGCTTACTTAATACTTCCCAACAAACCAGAAGAAATGAGCTTGGAGAATTTCTGGGTAGCTGAACATATAGAGATTCCTGAAAGCAAGCTTGAATGCATATGTCTTTATTTTTTGTAACATTGCATAAGCATTTCCTTCCTGGAGTCTGTGAATCACTCAAGTGAGTCAGTCACCTTGAGGAGGGTGTCATAAATTCACTTATAGCAGTTGATCAGAAGCACATTTGAGTTTATGGTTTGCAAATGAAGCAACCAGGTCTTGGAGACTGAGCCCTCAACCCAAAGACCAGAGCTAGTAGCCTAGTGTGGAGGCTCTTGACTGCCATCCCAGCATTTGGCAGGCTGAGACTGGAAGAACACTGAGTATTCAGTCTCTGCTTGGGAAAACCAGCACAGCAACCACAATAAACCAGAACAAAACCCACCACCTAATAAGTGAGATTACACACTCTCATATGTGAAAGCTGACTCTCAGGAGATTGTCTCCAAACAAAAACATATTTCAATGAAACCATCAGAATAAAAACCATATACCCTTTACAGTAATAAAATACATATGAAATTTTTTTCTGCCTACAATACTACCATCTAGGCAATTTCCACATCCCTTCATGTACTTCTCTTTCCTAGGATAATTCCCCTGGTTGTTAGCTGTTATAACAGCTTTGCTTTTGCCAAATGGATGAACTTTTGAAACTATGCTTCTTAACTCTTTTATATATGAGCTCTCATGTGATTTCATTTTAAGTGGAAAAAATAATTTAAATAGTTATTCATATATATATATATATATATATATATATATATATATATATATATGCTGCAATTTTTCCCATCTCCTATATGTAGCTGGAAGCTTTTTCTATCTCGCCTGGTTCCACTAGACCAGTTTCTCTCCTGCCTCTTGGGTCCCCACAGCCTCTTATGAAATGACACTATGAGGCTAGTATTAAATTATAATTGTTTGGCCAATGGCTCAGACCCATTACTGGCTAGGTCTCTCATAACTTAACCCATTTTTATTAATCTATGTATTGCCACAAGGCTGTGCCTTACTGGTAATGCTCCAGTACATTACTCCTTCTGTGGCTACATGGTGTCTCCTTGGCCTTTGGCTGAGACAGTTTTATTAATCAACCAATAAAAGCAATGCGTATTTGCAGCATACAGAAGGACATCCCACATCATTCTAATACTTATTTGTGCTTACTTAACATGCATATGTAAAAGATTTATGTTAACAGAATGAGAGCCAGTGACCATGCTGGCCTCAAAGGTCACAGCAGATGACCTTGAACTTCTCATCCTCCTAGTTCCCTGCCTCCTAAA